CCCCCCCCCCCTTTGCAAGCAAACAGAGATTAGAGAGGCTTTCATTTTCCCCAACAGAAAGAAGGTCTGGGACTCTGTCCTTTTATCAGAGAGATCAAAGGCAAGGGCTTGGGATGAAAGGGCCGGAGGGGGAGGCAAAGGGCTGCAGAAGGCCCTCCATGTCTGGGACAAGGATCACAGCAGCAATGCCTCCTTTGCCGCCTCCTCCTCTTCTTCTTTTTCTCCTTCTCTCTGGCCAGTCTGCTCCCTGTCTGAGCCTCCATGAAAAAGCAGAAGCCATGCCTCTTAAAAGAGCAAGGCCAGTCCAGTTAGGCATTTGTAACGCAGCCTCTTATCTAACTCTATCAATGCATCAATGTGTCCCTGTAAAACCACAGACCGTCACAAAAGTTTCCAGATTAGAAGATGTGCCAGGAGGTCCATGAGCAGATTGGGCAGAGGGGCAATCCCAAGGAGAAGCTGCCTAAAATGTTCTCCTTCTCCAGCTAAGATGCAGCCTGGAAACTAACAACAACAACAGCGAGAACAAGGACTATCCTCCTGTATGTGTCTGAAAAGGATGCGATTCCATTTGCAAAAAGGATGTGATTCCACTGGCAGGCTCCATAGGGAGTCCAAGCATTCCCTAAAGTGGTCAGCTATTGGGGCAAGGCTGGCATGCTATTTCTTCCTGGTCTGGTCTTTCAGGAAGCAAACATAAAAGGGACAGAGGTGCAGGTGGGATGCTCATCCAGGTCTAAGAAGGAGTCATAAAACATTGGGTTTTACCGCTTGATTAAACCTTCATCTCCAAGCAGATGGGCCACGGGCGCAATTCCGTCAACACATTTCTGGCAGGTTGCCCTGCCATGCGTCCTGGCGGAGGTTGCAGCTCCTGGACCAGCCTTAGGGATGATGACCCTCGTACTTACAGCACATGGCCACCATCCCCTTCCAAGGTGGCCACTTCAAGGTGGCCAGTCCTTGGGCTGCTGGGGCTAAGCTATTATCCCAGGCCCAAACCAATCATGGCTTATTTAAAAGTCCCTTAGAGCCACTAAGAGTGTGTCATCACAGCATCTGAATGCTGCTTTATGCTATCTTTCAGAATGCTAGTTTTAGCAATATTCAAAAATTTGACATTTTCAAGGAGTGTGTGTGTGTGGTGTGCCTCCAAGTTGTTTCCATCTTATAGCCATCAAAAAAGCCTTATCACACTATGAAACAAACCCCAAACGAAAAGAGGCATGTTTCCCCCCCTCCCTCTGCATGATGTCCTTCAGGTTGTAAAAGCATGGGAGAGGGTCGTAAAAGTGCCCCATTTGCCAAGCTGAAATAATCCGTTTGGCAAAAATGACACTTTTACAACACTCTCCTAGGCTTTCACAACCTAAAGAGCATAGGAGAGAGAAAAAAAAAAAACACAGTCTTTTCATTTGCCTGCCAAATTTGTTTAATAATGTGATAAGGCTCTAAGACAAACCGATCATGGGGTTTTCTTGGCAGGTTTGCTCAGAGGGGGGATTGCCATTGCCATCCTCTGAGGCTGAGAGACTGTGACTTGCCCAAGGTGACCCAGCGGGTTTCCATGGATGAGCCCAGGATTGAAACCCTGGTCTTCAGCATCATAACCCAACATTTAACCCACTACACTACGCTGGGCAAGTGACTGTGTTCCCCAGTGGGCAGGTAACCTGCTGCCCTTGTGTTGTGCCACCTGAGACCACTGGCACTTTCCTCATCTACCCAATGGGAGATCCGGCTCCGGCTCCGGCCGGCAGCTGTGCCTTCCAATGGCCTGCACCTGTGTTGCTTCTTCTTCTTCCTTCCTCCTCCAAGCAATGTGTGCATAACATGCAATTGGCTTGGAAGTGCAGCCAGAAAACATCAGAGCTGGGCATTTCTTTGGCCCTCTTAAGACGCTGGGTCCCACTAGAAATCTCACGGGAGACCAGCGTCTTATGGGGCCAGCATGAACTGTGAACCTCCACTAGTGTCCAGCCGGTCCCTTTGGTCATATATATGTGTGTGTGTGTATTGCAAATACTACAGAACATAATGCCTCCAAAGATTTTGTTCAGAGGAAACTAAACCCCATTAGCCCTTACATGTTTTCAATGCTCAAAAAACTGAGTTTTGTCAGGCAGCATTTTATTAAAAGTTCAGTTCCAGGAAGAGAGCAGGCAGTCTGTGGACTAATGCTCTCCTGCAATAATTCTCCAAAATTATTGGGAATGCAGAGGCGGCTGGGAGAGACCAATGGAAGCTGACTTTTTAAGAAAACAAATCTTGCCCTCCTAGTTATGAACGCATCTCATTTTAGTCCAAAGTAAGACACCAGGGCTGTCTGGGAGTTATCTATAGAGGAGACAAGCTTTTTTCAAAGTTCAAAAGAGCTTTTTGCCAGAAGTCCAACAGATCTAGGAAAATGCCTCAGGCATTAAGGAAGACGCTTTATCGCGGCAGTATTTTCCGACTCAAAGGGAAACTTATTAGACCTTGAGTTGTTGTTGTTGTTGTTGTGTGCCTTCAAGATGTTTCTGACCCTAAAGCAAACCTATCGCTGTGGTTTTCTTGACAAGATTTTTCCAGAGAGGTTTTGCTGCAGTAGCTTTCCTCTAGTGTGATTTGCTCACAGTCACACAGTGGGTTTTCATGGCCAAGCAAGGATTCAAACCCTGGTCTCCAGAGCTGTAGTCGAATGCTCTAACCACTACACCATGCTGGCCTTCGTCCTTGGATCCATCTCCCTTCCTTCTTCTTGAAGGACCAATGGAGCAAATCTTGAGCAAAGGGGATGCTGCTGCATGTGCCAAGAGAGACATTGCGCTCCGGACGCTCTCTTGGGCAGCAGCCGGACACTCTTCACCCGTCCAGAAGGAGATCTTGCTTTACAACAGTACATGCGAAAGGGATTTAGGGGCCCTAGTAGACCACAGATTGGACATGAGTCAACAGTGTGACACGGCAGCTAAAAAGGCCAATGTGATTCTAGGATGCATCAATAAGAGTCTGGTATCTGGATCAAGGGGAGTAATAGTATCATTCTCTTCTGATTTGGTCAGGCCTCACCTGGGATGCTGTGTCCAGTTCTGGGCACCATAATTCAAAAAGGATACTGACAAGTTGGAACATGTCCAGAGGAGGGAGACTAAAATAGTGAAGAGTCTGGAAACCATAAAGCCCTCTGAGGAGGGACTTAGGGATCTGGGCATGTTTAGCCCGGAGAAGAGAAGGTTAAGAGGTGATATAGTAGCCCTGTTTAAATATTTGAAGGGGTGCCATGTGTTGAGGATGGAGCAAGCTTGTTTTCTGATGCTCTAGAGAATAGGAAATATGGAACAATGGATGCAAGTTCCAGGAAAAGAGATTCCAGCTCAATATTAGGAAGAACTTCCTGACAATGAGAGCTATTTGACAGTGGAAGACATTGCTCCCTTGGAGATTGTGGTGGAGTCTGCTTCTTTTGAGGCTGGATGGCCATCTGTCAAAGGGGGTGCTTTGATTTTGAGTTCC